AAGTTCATTACATAGCATGGAAAATACTAAGTAATAGCAAATTACCAAAATGTCCATCTTCCTTATGCTCCAAAGTTAAATGGTCTCACACATACAACATAAGGAATTATTTCAACTTCTGCAACTGTTGCGTATCAGGTTGGGTTCTTCCATCACTTCGGCTACTTGCCTCTTATGTGTTCTGTTAAACCAAATAACCTGTGACCTATCATCTTGCAAAGTAATTTGTGGCCTCCTCAAGGATTTTAAAAGAAGTGGACAAAGCAGAAAGTACCTTTGTTCTTACAATAACCCATGTATCTTGGAAGGAATGTTTGCAGCAAGGAAAACTAATGGGGCCACAGCAGTCGTTATCACAGACATAGGTTCACAGATGCATCTGGAAGGGGAAATTGCTACAGCTGGAGAAGTTTTGTCATTTTAGTGGTACTGCTTTCAGTAGTTTGAAACATTAGTACTTCCAAACAGTGACCTGCCAGTAAACTTTGATAGAAATAAGATGGAATACCAGGGTTACTATCAGGGTCACCAGCTCAAACACATTTTCCTAAGGTCTGAACAATAGCACAAAGTCTGAGCCAAAGGAAGTAAGAAAAACACAAAAACCCAACTTATCACAGGCATTAAGATTGCTTCTCTGAGCGCCTTCAAATACTCCCCCAGACCCTCTTTTCCCTGTCTCCTTGTCCTACCTTTTCTCTTTTTACTCTCTCCTTTTCCTGCTCTTTTTAGTGTTCTGAATTCATTAGGTGACGTAGAAGTAAATCAATAGTAAATATTGCCCGCCTCCTCTACTCAGTTATGCAACATCGCGGAACTGGTACACAGATAAAAAGGGAAAAAGCACACACAGCTTTACATTCAAAAGCTCTCACATAATTTTACTTTTCCACAGCCAAAAAGGAAGTAACAGATGGGAAAATTTACAGTTTTTTTTTCCCCGACTTTCCCAGACTGTTTAGAAAAGAGTTAGTTAACATCTATGGCCATTTCTAGTTACCCTAGGCTTCAGCAACATCCCATGATTGTCAGAGCCATAACTGGCTTTAAAACAGGATTTTGTGACTGTCAGTGATGTAATGGATTTTCCAGGTAATATGAAACTAAAATTATTCTGAGGCGATTTCACTCATTTAATGGAAAATCAAAAAATTCTAGGAATAAAATTAATTATAAAGTAGGAGATAAGAATAATGACTGTGTGTGTATACAAGTTTCCATTTGCAATGTATTCTGGTGTAATACTTATGTGAAAACAACCTGGTATAATATTTACGTAAAAACGATTCAGTAAGTTGTTTCTCTGCCTTTTTACTTCAGTAACTACAAGTCTTTATCCTTTCTTTTCTTGTTAGAAAGTACATTCAAACACCACAGTCTCAATAAAAACAAATATCTAGATGCAACAACAGGGCAGAAGGCTTAATTCAAACTCCCTGTAGAGTTACTTCTCTAAATTTCAGTTCTATGTATAAATCTATAGTTTCTAGAATTCTCATTTAATACCCTGAGTCACACTGCTCCCCCAAACACCTTTGGATTCACTGCTTCAGCTTTCTTTAACTATATAAGAAATCCTTCCTTCTCCACTCCCTCCCTCCTGTCTCTTCTCTCCTTGTTTTCCACCCTCTCTTCATTCTACTTCCCCCTCTCCCTTTTCCTCTTCTGCCATTTCTCTCTCCTTTCTTTTCTCTCCTCTTCTCTGATCTCTCTCTTTTCTTTGTAGCTCTACATCTCTTTCCCATACCTCTCTCCTTCACATTGAAGGATGTTACCCAGCTCAAGTGAAAACACAGAGGTATTTTTGTGTGCTTTATCAGTCTTTCCTCCATCTTGAAATATTTTGTTTCACTTACCCTAAGGAGTTTTCTGGGAACCAAGCCTTCCTGTCTGATAAGAAGGAGGTTGGAGAGAATTTGAGTTTTGTTTTGTTCTTTGTTTTTAGTGTCTGACTATCCTATTCTTATAAAATGGATATAAAATGATAGAGGGCAACACTGGACACTGCAGAGACCTGTGAAACCAGCTGGTAGGCAGTAGTGGCTTTATTTGTTCTAATCAAATGAAGGGATGGTGAAAGGTAGGCGAGAAAGGACAGACATGGTCTTTACAAATAAAAACTTGTAGAATTGGGTTTCATATATTTTGAATCAGTATCATATTTTCAGTTCATGCTTTATTTATGGATGCTAAAGCCATGAAAAAAATCAACCAGTTTGATTTACTAAATATCTGAGGTATGTTATTTTTCTTTATTAGTTTGTGTGTGTGTGTGTTTAATTCAGACTAAGTCATATTTTAAACATTTTTCTTATATGTTAGCTATTGCAATTTAAAATTTCTTTGTATGGAAGACTCATGTGTACTAAGATAAAAATCAAAGCAAGTGTATGTTGGCTGGGTTTTTGTTGTTGTTGTTTTTGCTCAAGCACAGAGCTGTTTATTGTAACAACTGAATGATCAAGATTATTGACATTGTATTTCTGCATTTTAGATTATATAGGATTTGTTGTTTCCAAATGAATCATGTCTAAACTAGTAAATATTTTAAACAAGATATCTATATATAAATATATATATACATTTTCATCCAACTCTTGTGTACAGGATCTGTAATTCAGAATTGCTTATGGAAAAATATTGACATGAAATTGGACAGAACATTGTAATGTTTAGCCAGAAATTTATATTCACGCATATTTTTCTACATATCCCTCTAAGTCTGTTATAGCTGATCTTGAATTCTAATATGCAATAGTGCATATTGGTACCACATTATCAAAAATATCAAAATTTATCATCTCTATTTGTTGCTGTTGGCAGTGGTGACAGTAACGTTGCAAGAACCTCAGCCAGTGACTTAGCTGTCCAAGCAGAATTACTTTCTTGTCCCTGGTCCACAGAGCAGCTTCCTAAGTATTTTCTGTATTTCAGTAAAACATAAAGTATATTCTTTATAATGCAATTTTTATATAATTAAGAATCTGTTACCAGAGTATTCTTCTTCTTGTTCATTTTTCCATATATAGAGGAATTTATTATGAATACCCCCCCAATTTTCAAATGAATTTTTAAAAACTGAGAGCTAGAACCCTTAATGGGAGCTAGCATTTCTTGGTTGTCAAAAACAGTTGTAGATATCTGCTTATGAAAGAAATGGAGGGAAAGATCTAGTGTTTTCCTGCCTCCTTTTGCTAGATAGCTTCCATTTCCATCATGGTGGGTTTTCGTACTTGGAACAATAGGTAGGCAGGATTGTATTTAAAAGTTCAATTTATGGCAGGCAAGTCTCCTCAGCCCTCCCACTGCTGTGACCACAGCCCTGGGAACATACGGGCTATATGTACTTTCTTATTTACAATGCTGGATCCAAGTTGAGGCAAGGCTGGCAAACCTAAACTTTCTCTTGCTGTGCCATTTAAAGCAGAAGACAGTTTTAATTTTTCTCTGATATTTCTTAAATTCAGCACAACCCTTCAACTGAATTTCTCCTCTTGTTGCTAGACACGTTCTAATGGAACTCAGAAAACTCAGTCACCAACAGCTTTTTAGACAGAATCACTTACCTCGTTGTGCCCTGTGCAAAGTAGCAGCTTTGCAAATATTTGTTTTGGTGAACCGGGGAGAGACTTGCTGGCTGTCCCACAGCACTGTCCAGGCAAATGTTTGCCATGCAAGGAGAGGGGTAAGAGGAAACTGGAAATGGAGCCTCTTCATTCTAGCAATGGAGACCTCATTCTATTCAATGAGGAAGCCCTTATTGTCCATTCTTACTCTTTATTAGCACTGTGATCTAAGCAACTGATCTAACTGGCTCGTTGCTCTCATTCTTTATAAAAACCATCAAATCTCAGAAGGCAATTTTACATATTTTCTAGAGGTTCTTTTCAGTGGTCATTGCTGCAGAGAGTCACTTAAAAAACATAATTTTGGCAAGCTACCTAGGTGACCTTCATTAAATTTCATATGAGTGTTACAAAATACTTAAGATTTTGGCTCTCAAATACTCCTCTCACACTCTGCTATAGGCTTCCTTGATTTTTGGCTTTTCTTATGTCCTCTGGATAATTACTTTTATATTTCATTTATATATGTAGGTCCTATAAAGTGTCTCTATCATGTACAATTTCATTGCTTGTGGCTTGACAAGTTCCAGGCCTTTCTGAATCACGTTTGAAGTAGTTTGGTTATATTGGGTCTTCTATAATCTGTCATTATGGTGCTGGTATTGCAGGTAGGATGACCTCCAGGAAAACCACCTGTGGCCTCTGAATTCTTAAGGCAATTGATAAAAACTATGTGGAAATATTAATAGACAATGTTGTATAACATTTGGAGACTTTATTTTGCTTCACAGTTGAAAATATTTTAATATTAATTTTTACTTCATTCTATTATTTTGGGATTTAGCATAAAAGTTTAAAGGTTTCAGGTCACATTGTGTTTCTCTTACCTAGCTTGTAATCTAAAACCATACATTGATTTGTAGTCATGAAGGAGAGTACGACTAGAAGTAATTCACCTCATGAAAGCATTAGTGCATGGTCTATATCTTGTTTTCTCCCCTCTGCCTCAAGACTTACATCTACAACATGAGTAATAAACAGCCCAAAGCAAGGAAAGACCAGTTTGGTTTTATTTATAATGTTTTATTTAAATGTTTAATGAAAAGTACAGTAAAATTCAGATGGAATTGCAAATCATGTGCTTTCCAATACTTTGAGTACTTTTTAAGCAGACCACAGTAATTAACTGTGAAACTGAACTTTCTCACTACAGAGTATATTGTACAAAGGATTAGCCGATCATTCATCACTGGCTGCATCCGCTTGGTGATCACCAAGTTAAGCATCCAGACACTCACCAAGTCACCTGTGGCCATCATTTCCTTTCTGTAAAGTATCACCAAGTCAGGGTCCCAGGGGAGTAACAAGTGTATTTTTTTTGTGTATTTTTAGTTAACATACATTCCAACATTATGATGTCCTTTTCCATTTCAGACTGTTTTATCATCAACAATTGAATATTTCATACAACATCGCTGGTTGGTAAGTAAGCTTTTATTGTCTCTCAGTTGCAGTCCAAAATATTGAAGTTCAAAGAAATAACATGTATTCATACCTAATTCACCAACTCCAGGAAAATAAGAAGTAAATCTAAGGGCTGTAGTGAGTTTACCACCACAAGAATTAAATTTGAACATAATGTATTTTGATATTGATATAATACAGGAGAATAAGAACCCAGTATCACAGTATTGGTAAATATTTTGAGTGACTTTGGTAGACCTGGGTGGAAGAATTCAAAGGACTTGTTTGGAAGTCTTTCCAGAGATAGATTTTCCCAGGGACTTTTGAAGAGACAGAAACAGCTATAAGATGAAAATAGCCACTGATGTTTCCTATGGAGAATGCAGTAATTTTGGCATTAAGAAAACACAGAGAAAATCTTTCAAACACATTTTATGTCTCCTTGAACTTCTGGTTTGCATTTTATAATAATCTGTAAATCTGAAATGTATTTGCTTCTTCTGAGTCTTAAAAACAGATATAGCCTTTCTTGCACATATCCACAAGAAGAAAGGGAAACAGCTCATTGAAATACCAGTAAACATGTCCGTCTCTGGAAATCAATAGCGCCAAGATTGGAGCTTCATGTAAACATAGCTTTAAAGTTTGGCTCTTTGTCCTCTGGTGAGGCTATGTAAAATCTCTAGAAGAGTAGCATTGTGTCCTTGAGCACTCTCGGCAGTCAGTGTCTAAAGGAGAGCATGGCAGGACAGAGGGCACGGTGGCGGATCATCAAGTCAGAGACAGCCTGGGAGAGCTGGCTTTGCTGGAGGCTGGCCTGCAGTGAAGTGCACTGACAGAGGGAGGGGCAGGAGGAGCACCTTGCCTGGCTTCTGACTCTGTTCTGCCTGGCTCTCCAGGCCTGTTTAGTTACCAGCAGCATCGTCATCCAAACCGTTAAAATAACAGTCTTGACTTCACTTTATATGAAGGTGCATGAAATGAAGAAAATCATCTCTTAGGGTGATAAAGAAATCTTTTTTTTTCTGGAAATTTCCATGTCCATTGCACATAATCCACTGTTGTCCCTGTTATTGTTTCTAATTCTGTTGCCTGTCTGTGTCTGTCCCTGACATATCCAGCTTGCCACTGAAGGCTAGAGCCTTAAGGACTGTAACTCCTCCCTCCTTACTCCCTGCTTCACTTGTTTTGCTAACCAGAATAAACCTACTATCAGTGTGAGCCTAGAGGCACAAGGAGCAGGCTTGCATAGTAACTTTAATTTGTTCTCCCTTAGCATTCATCATAAAATGATGTCATCACAGAAAAGCCAGCATTTCACACTCTTGCTGACTTACAAAAAAGCAGATTCCTCCCCTATTCCTCTCCAGCACAAAGAAAGTGTTTTCTGTTTCTTTGATCTGATGAGTTTGTATTGAGGGTTTTTGTTTGCTTTTGGGTGTATTTCACTTACAGGCATGAAGATTTAAAGTATCTGGGCAGTGTGTGTGTTTACAGTTTCTCTGTTTTAGTAAATGAAAATTTTGTAGGGAAAGAAGAGCACATCTTGTCTTACTAATGAATAAATATTTATTTTCATTTTTAAAAGATTCATACTCATTAAAAATAATTTGGAATAATACATAGGAGTAAAATTAAGAAAAATTAAAGTAATTATTTCTATAATTTAAATCTAACCATTAATAACTATTTGATATATTTTATGACTCTTATTACCCCCGAGTACATTTTCTTGAATATACTATACTCAGAATGCCTCTATAATATTCTTTGTTCCTTCTTTAAAGTTTTAACTTAAAAATTTTGCATTTAAGTCAGGTATGGTGGCTCATGGCTGTAATCTCAGCACTCAAGGAGGCAAAGGCAGACAGACCTCTGTGAATTCAAGGCCAGCCTGGTCTACAAAGCAAGTCCAGGACAGCCAAGGCTAGACAGAGAAACCCTGTCTTGAAAAAACAAAACCAAAAAGAAAAAAAGAAAGAAAAGAATATTTCATTTAGTAATAAAGTCTTTATAGATTGTCTAAATAAATATTATTCCTATAATCAAAATGCCCAACAAAAGCATGTTTAGCTCTTTCTATTTTCAGAATCCCTTGCATATGAAGTGAATAAGTCAGTAAGTAATGCATAAATGATTAGAAGTTCAAATGAAATATATATTTAAGATTATTTCATGAAATTCTTCAAATACATGAATATAGGCAGATTACTAAAATGAACTCCTGTGTATTAATCATCTAGCTTATTCGATACTTAATTCGTGACCTATCAGTTTCCCACTATATTGCCTTGTTATGTTGAAGCAAACCTCAGCTGTTGTGGCAGTTAATTAATTAACTAATATTTCTGGTTCATCAAGACACTTTTACATGCTGATGTTTTAAAAGTTTCAGATAAATAGTTCTCGTCACTATAGGGCGCACTATGTCCTAATGTCTTGGCCTTGTATTTTCCGATGTGTAACAATTGGTTGTAAAAATCTCAGCGGCTTGTTTTATAGTACCCTCAGGCACATCTGCAAGGCAAAGGAGAGTGTGGATGATGATAGGCACACATCTTACAGACGGATAGGTTTCTGGGACAAACGTTTTTGTTTTTTTTTTCTGGAGGTTTTTTTTCTTTTTACTTCACTTGATTTTAGGATGATAACTGGCATAGCAGACTTATACAGCATTATATTATATTATATTATATTATATTATATTATATTATATTATATTATATTATATTATATTATATTCATTATTGAACATATCCAGGTATTATATTCTATTGTTTTTCTGAAATAAACGAAAAAGTTGATTCTTGAACTACTTAGAACTCCATTCTAACTGTATTAAGCCTGTACTAGATAGAAAAGAGATACTTAAACCAGCTAAATCAAACTTAATACTCTTGAAATATTTCTAAATTTTAAGGCTTTTCTGGGAAGTGAAAAGCATTTGATAGTCGTGTGGTGCTCTTAAATCTGAAAGGGGGAATTTTATACTATATATAACTATGTCTGAGAGGAGGAAATACACTGCAGAGCAATGCCTGTGTGTATTGCTCTAGTTGTCCTAAGGTTTTAGGAGCACCCTGTACAAGCCAGTGTTCTACAGATAGACCACACCCTCACAAAAGAGCGCTGCACATGCAGAATGATCTGTTGGGATTGAGCTTTCTGTAGAAAACCTGTTTACGAGTTTGTCCTTTCTCAACTGTCTTTGAATTTGAAGCCAGAGAAGGTAGCAGTGTGTTATCCAACAGGTGCTTTACACTCATCAGATATTCAGGCTGTGAGTAACTAACACCCTGCCTCCGTAGAAACTGAATTTATGTGTTACTCTGGTCTATTTAATCTTAGGCGCACAGTTTCCATTGGCCTCGAAAGTGAGTAGCTAGAATATTGATGTGCCTAACCCTTCGAGAAGAAATAAAAGGTTTCTCTACCACACTAAATCTCTAGAAAAAAATATGATGGCTTACAGTATGGACACATACAAAATATTTTCAGCAAAAGCTGGTAGGAAAAAGCACATGGGAAAAAAGAAAGTAATAACACAAGCAATAAACTATCCAATCAAACAGAGCATCTGTAGAAATTGCTCCTGTGCATATGTAAACAATACAAATTCTTTTCCTCTTTTCATCTCTTTTCTTTCCATCTGTCTTCTGAACATTTGTTTTTCTCTTACTCTGGCTTGGCATCACCAGCATTAAAATGTCAGCTCAAGAACCGAAATGTGCCTGGTACCATGGCTTTCAGGCAGGTATGACAAGGTAGGAACAAGTAATTGTACTATCTGGAAGCTGAAAAATACTCATATTTTAAAACAACTTACTTAGCTATCATTATTTTAAGACAGATACTGACAGCACATCATGGTCATTTATTTACGTCCTTTTCTTATATGTGATGGTGTACTAGGTGCCTGTCATAATCCTAAACTATAAAGTACCTTCAAAAGAGAAACTACGATTTTTTCTGGTCTGTGTATGACACCAGAAACCCAAGTTATCCACCAAAGCCTCATCATGATAGCAGCTATAGTAATAATTATCATCCATAGTGAGAATATGTTCTCCTAAAAAGAGCAGCAGAATCCATCTCAGAAGTAACCCAGGCCCCCAACAGATCAGTAGGCTTATCACAGCCAGATAAAAGTTCAGCTCTGCAAAACCCTGAGAAGTACCTGGTGTTTGTTTCTTACGTGTGACTATTGCAGTCCTGGTGTTTAGTCACTGTTGTATTTGTGACTTTATATGTCACACCATAGCTAAAAAAACAAAATTCTGAGAATAAAGCAGCTGTCTATACTTTCTTCCTTTTACTCTGAATTAAATTTAGGATTACAATTGAAGGATTCTGAGTATTTTAAGGCAGCAAACCCTTTGTAAGTGTTCTGCATCATGACAGGATTTTCACTTCAAGACCAAAGATCCTGATAATCACAACAAAAGGAGGTGGAAAGGATTGTTCAGATTACTAAATCTCTCCATTCCATGAACCTGGCATATTTTGTAAGACATCTCTTTGAACATATATTATGCAATTGTGTGCAATTGCATGAGGATAAAAATTACATTATTCCCTCATCAAGATAATCCTATGATTCTGATTCACATAGGAAAAGAGGGAGGAATGAAACCCCTGCTAGAGCAGGTATTCGGGAAGTTAGTTCCATAGTCAGCTCAGTCCCTGACCCTGGCATGCTGAGGAGGAATCCCGATTCTCCCCCTGACTGGACTACAGTTTGAACAGGAGATGACCTTCCATCTGGGGACTGTCCCACAGGGCCTTTCTAGGCTCTCATGCTCTGACTTCCACTCTGGAAATATTCTTGATTTGTTGGTGATGTTAGAAATAATTTTTTTTGGGTATTTGATAGCTACTCTGTGATTTCATCTACTGTATTTGTGCTGTGTAGATCTGTAACCTTTGAATACTAAGTGTAAAGACTCTCGTAATTAATTATTTAAAGACATTTTACCTCTTAACTATTTTTCTTTCTTGTCCATAAACACGTTGATTGG